TGTAAATGAAGTCATTTACGGAGGAATATCACCATCCCGGCATAGGAATATATATATATATATATATATATATATATAATGGTAGTTAACCGGTTGACCTAGGTTACTAGGTTAGAGAGAAGAGTATGTAGAATTTCAACGAATGGGAATAGTATCCATAGGCAAAGAGTGCTGAGGCAAGTTGTGATCCCGTAGCAGGAATTTTGAACTATTCTAATCGCCTTTCTGGTCTGTTGAATCCAGGCAGAGTGGAGGCTCGTACTTTGAGGCAAATTTTAGAGGATGTCGCTGCCGATGGTCTTGGTGAAGAAGGATGGAGCTAAAAAAAGGAATTCGATGAAAAAAGAGACTAGATCGAGCACTAGCAAGTGACGAAAAATGCTTCGACAGACAGTTACGCTTTTGCGATTGCCGTATTAGCAAGTCTGTCTGTTGGGGATGTGGCCATGGATCTGGAGAGGTAGTGTGGCAAGTGGAGCGACGAAAGGAGGACGAGGCCGGCGGCATTTGTGCGGTGGTCAGGAGGCACTGCTCGGGACTATAGGCGCCTGGAGAAACAGAGTGCGAAGGTGAAGCAGGTTGAGAGGTGGTAAGTGTATGCCAGGTCGCCACTTGCCCAGACGAAGGTGAAGAATGATGAGGCTGTCGCCGCTGGTGTTTCTGCTCTATCAATTGCAGGTTTTTCAGTCTTGACTGCGATTCATAGTGGCACTGCAGCGATGGATGCTGAGGCGGAGTCTGTTGTTGCTTTGGCCTCAATGAAGCTACCCAGTTGTGAGTGAACTTAGGAGGAGGAACATCATCTGGCACTGACCCGGAACCAGATCCCGATCCGCCCATGTTAAGATCAGCTGGTGGAAAAATATGAAGTCCGGCCTCAATGAGGCTGCCGCTTCCACCACTGCCTGTACACCCACTACCAAAGCTGCTGCTACCGTGTCCAGAGCATGAAAATGGAAAGTGGCGGCGGAAGGATGCGGCTACATTGGCCGAGCTGCAGGTGCTGCTATCAATTGAGAAGTTTGTGGCAGAAGACAACTAGACAAGAATAATAAATATTAATGACCTATAACATACAAAGGCGAGTACTTCAAGCACTTGTCTCAACTGCTAAAATAAGTACCTGTCACATGAGTAATAAATCTTAAGAGAGGCTAACTAATTAGTAGCACACGCCAGTAGTCGAATTAGCAGCAGCTTTAATTGAGAAAAAAGCAAATATATAATAAATAAATGGAAAAGAGAATAGCACAGAAAAACGTGCAAGTTACCAAATTAAGTATTGTATTATGATATTTTGTCCTTCACTCACAATGTATCTGATCCATAACTAAATATAGTAGCGAAACCCTAGAGGATTTATTGGCAAAAATTGTGATTACCTGGTTCCAGAAAGTAATCAGAATATAGTCACTGTGAACGTTAGGATTATAGGCCACCATAAGAACCAACTATCATGAGCACCAGGTGTGATGCATCAGGGCAACCTACTGGCCATTCATCAGAGAAGAGGCAGCAGGTAAGTTACTGCTATACTGTTAGTTGGCTTCGTAAATGTCTATTTTTTCACAAAGCTGAGGCTATCCCATATAGCTGACATGAGTAAAACAAATATAATCAAAAGAGCATAGGGACTTTCCATAAAACAGAAGCTCATTATTCGAATATAGTATTGCAAATGTCCTGTATATGCATGGAAAAGAAAGACCGGAAACTGATAAGTATGAAATAAAATATTTTCATATGTATAAACCTTTACCCTCTGAATTAAGGAGAATTAATCATAGCATAACGACGTTTATATATGATTTTTAGGCTATAACAACAATTCTAAGGCCGTTATTCATTCAAATTTTAGTAATTTCAACACCCAGCAAGCCTTAATTGAAAAACGATAGGCAGGACTAGGAAGTATGAAGAATCGACAATCAAACAAATAGACATACATTTTTTAAGCGTGCACACATCTTGGAAAAATTTCAACGAAATCGACAATTCAGATTATCGATGCCATGATAACATTGTTGTGGTAGATCTCATATAAGTTAATAAACATTCTCTATTTAACTGTTATTAAAGCTTTGAGGTAATCGTTTTAATATAAA